GTGGGACGGTGGCTCAGAAGCCCCTACCTCTGGGCCGGGAACAGTGGGACTCAGTACCTTGGTCTGGTGGTCTGGTGTCCTCTGCATCTTTGTATTGTGGAATCAGGTGGCTGCCTGTCTGAAGCGGGCTTATTCGGCCAGTTTTCCTATTTATTGAAGGGACTTTTCTTTTCCCTTGTATATTTTTGGTATCCTCATCAAAGATTAATTATATATATCTATAGCTGTGTAGCCTTCCTCATTGGGGGCCCCTAACCCTACAGTATTCATTCATTATTCTTTACAAATAGAAAATATTCTTTCTAATGTTTTCTGAACAGATAGGTAAAGTAGTATTGCATACATATATATATATATATATAGTATATATATATATGTATATATATGTATTTTGTGTGTGTATATATATATAGAGAGAGAGAGAGACAGAGACAGAGACAGACAGAGACAGGGGGAGGAGTGCATGTATGTTTGAGATTCTGTTTTCTATTCCATTCATTTTTGTGTTTATTTTATGCCAATGCATACTCTATTGATTGCTAAACCCTTGTAATACAGTTTAAAATCAGGAAATGAATGCCTCCAGCTTTCTTCTTTCTCAGTATTACTTTTGACTATTTGGAATCTTTCACTATGAATTTTAGAACAGAATCTTTTCTATTTTTTTTTTTATTTTTTGGTACCAAGGATCGAACTCAGGACCTTGCGTTTGCAAGGCTGGCATGGCGCAACTGAGCTACATCCCCAGCCCTCACTATGAATTTTAGGAGTCTTTTCTATTTCTGTAAAAGATGCACTGGAATTTTAATAGGGATACAGTGAACGTGTAGATCACTTTGGGTAGGATGAACATTTTCTTGGAAGAACAATATTCTTGCAATTCATGTATTCAGTATTATCCCAGTTCCACCAAATGAGTATTTTTCCATTTATTGTGTCTTTGATTTCTTTCATCAGTGTCTTACAGTTTTCTGTGTGCAGATCTTTCATTTCTTTGGTTATATTTATTTCTTGAGTATTTTTGATGATGTTGGATAGGGAATTATTACTTTTTTCAGATATTAGTGTATAGAAACATAACTGACTTTTATGTTGATTTTATATTGAACAAATTTAGTGAATTAGTTTATTTATTGTAACAATTTTTTTGGTGGCGTCCTCAGGGTTTTCTATACATATGTATAAGATTGTATCATTTACAAACAACCAATTTAACTACCTTCTTTCCAGTTTGGGTGCTTTTGTATCCTCTTTGTCTGTCTTTGTCTTTGTTTCTGTCTCTTTTTACCACTTACTTTGGCTAAGACTTCCAGCACTGTGTTGAATAGAAGTGGTGAGTATGAACAGCCTTGTAGTACTTCTGATTTTAAGGGAAAAGCTTTCAGCTTTTCAGTACTAACCATGATATAGGTGTGGCCTTGTCAAGTGTACCCTTATTATGTTGAGATACATTCTTTCTATACCTAATTTATTGAGACTTTGTAACATGAGGGAATGTTGAATTTTGTCAAATGCTTTTTCTGCACACATTGAGATGATCACATGATTTTTATCTTTCAGTCTGTTAATGTGTTTAGGTTGAACCACGCTTGCACACCATGGGTAAATCTCATTTGATCATGATATTTTATCCTTTTAATATTGTACTGAATTTTGGTTGCTAGTATTTTGTTGAATTTTCCAGGGCTCTTGGCCTATAATTTTCTTTTCTGATAGTGTCCTTTTCTGGCTTTGATATAAGAGTAATGGTGGTCTAGTAAAGTGACTTTAGATGTGTTCTCTCCTTTCCAGTTTTTTGGAAGAATATAAGAAGGATTGGCATCAATTCTTTAAATCTTGTTAGAATTTATCTGTGAAGCTATATGATTCTAGGCTATCATTTTGGAAGATTTTTAATTACTGAATCAATCTTCATTGTATTTTTCTGTTATGAGATGCAAATAATTTTTTACCAGCCTGCCATTTTGTCTTTGTTTATTCTAGTTTTTGCCCTGTAAAAGTGATTTTAATGTACTTGAATTTGTCTATTTCTTTTTTATAGATTCTGTGTTTTGTTTCAGAGTTTCAAAGTTCTTTCCTAGTAAGAGATTATAAACTAATTCTCCAATTTTTTTTCTCTAGTGCTTTTAGTTTTTTTTCTCTAGTACTTATAGCTTTATTTTTTTCATTTATATGTCTGTTTTATTTGGTTTATCTGATGAGGTCTTTTCCATATGAACTACAACTACTTGTCTATGTTTCTTTTTGAAAAAGGCTGATGGTGTTTTTAACTGGGATTGTATCAACTTTATAGATTAATCTAAAGAGGAGCAACTTTATGGCATTTAGTATTCATGGAGTATACTCATGAATACTATTTTTCTCCTGATCATTAATGTTTAAAAATAAGCAAATTCTCATTTCTTCTCTGTGGGCACAAAAGCAGAACTGCAAGCCATAATTGTGTCTGCATGATGCCTGCCATCTACTTCCTAAGATTTTTTTGCTCCCTGAATTATTTTAAGTTCCAGGAGAATTAGCCAGTCAGTGGTATAGATCAACCATTTAAACAGCTAAATATACCTCTATAATTTCTTTTCAGTTCATTGCTTTTCACTTTATAGATATCTAAATCATAGTAGGTGTAGGGATCTTGTATAACAGAAGTTTTTGACAATTTTAAAAGTAAACATCTCTTCCTGTGTTTGTATATAGAAACACATCCTTACTTGAGTAAGAAGGATAAAAAGAATCAGAAGCCATACACATGCATGGGTACACACATACACATGCGCGTGTACACACACACAGATATATATACATATATGTATGAGAGAGTGTATGTATCTGGGTTTATAGGAAAATCTTACAACTAAAAGAAACAAGTAATAAAAGAAACAAGTAATAGGCCTTTTAAATGGAATCTTTCTTTTTTTACAACTTTATTTATTTTGTTATCTCATTATTTTCAGTATTGGGGATTGAACCCAGGAGCCCACCTTGGTCCCCACCCAAGGTGATTGATACCTATTTAGAATATCAGTCATTGCTGTTCATCCCAAGGGGAAGTATGTGAATGTGGTGGTTTGTCTTTTTTGAATCCTGGCTTTCAGTAAATGGGCCTCAATTATCTTATGTATTGACTCCCTGGCCTTGCCTAACTGTCTTGTAATATTTTCTAACTGTCTTAGCTGTCTACAATACTGTTAGAACTCCTTAGACCACTGAGGAAAGCCAATCTGTATCATGTGTCCCATGAAATTACTGCTCCCTTTGCCAAATATACCAGCTTTAGACTGTTTCCCCATCCTGCCGTACCATCCCCCAAACCAGTGTATTTTCCTTTTGAATCACAATTTGATGGCTTTAAAAATCTTTCTTCAAGGTTTCACCATCCAAACATACCAGACTTGGCTGCGTATTTTACAGAGACTGAGAAGTTCTGTCTGGTTTATCCATATATGAGAAACGGAACACTTTTTGACAAATTACAGCGTGTCGTAAGTCACGTTATCATATTACCTTGTCCTCCGACCCTCTGGAGCCTGGGGGTTGGGGAGCTGCTGCAAGCTTTCCAGGGAGCCAGGAAGCCAAGGTGTGTGAATATGAGGGTGTAGCCGAGAATGAGTTTCTAAAGAAGTAGAGGACTTCTCTGAATTGGTTTCTTACTACTAGAAGGCTTTTATAAGTACCCGAGTTACTGGGTTCTGGTTGCCAAAAGAGTTACTGAGCCCTTATTGTTTATTGATTCTCTACCTTGAGTGAGTTTACATCAACTTCCCTTATTTCTCTGATTTTAATTTGCATAACTTTATGCAAAGCATCATTCAATACAAGGGATATACATAAAAGTGATATAGACTCCTGAAAGAAAGAGGTGGAGTAAATCCTATGATTTCTCCTAGATGTTTTTGAAAGGTTAGTTTAAAAATTGATTCCAAAAAAGTTAAGTTTCCACTAAAATGAGAATAAAAGCAGATTATTCTCAATTACACTATTATGCCACAAGTAATTTAAATATCTTACTTAATGAATTGTAAACATGTCACCTTTTCATGGGTTTTTTTTGTTTTGAGTTTTGTTTTGCAGCACTGGAGATCAAACCCAGGGGGACACTACAACTGAGCTATTTTTGAGATCGGATCTTGCTGTTGCTCAGGCTAGCCTCAAATCTGAATTCTCCCTCCTTCAGGCTCTTATTTATTTTTGGTCTTAGGTTTTGGTAGGCTAGGCAAGTACTCTACTACTGAGCCACACCCCCAGCCCACTAGTCATTTTGATTAAGCTAATTATTGGGTATCTCCATCATCTGTAAAGAGTTCTAGAACCATCATCAGAAGCAGAGGGAAATCTGTCTGAAATTAAAAATGGGTAGGGCCTGGAATTTAGCTCCGGCGCCACACCTGCCTTCCAAACACAAGGTACTGAGTTTGATCCCCAGTACTGCAAAAAAAAAAAAAAAAAAAAAGGGTTGTAGCAAACCAAAAATTGGTGATTTACCTCCTTCATCCCACCTTGCCCTCTGCTTGTTTTCTGGCATGCTTCCACGAAATGAACACATAGGTAATTTGCATTCAGAAAGTGCAACCCTACTGATTGCTTTTGTCTTTTTAGGGTAACACGGCCCCACTCTCCTGGCACATTCGAATCAGCATATTAATTGGTGTATCTAAAGCTGTCTGGTATTTGCACAGTACTCAGCCATGCTCAGTCATCTGTGGCAGTATATCCAGGTAAGGATCCCAGAACTTTAGGTTCCATCTGAAAGTCCCTTTCACATCGTGATGAGTCATATTTCATACTCTTTTCTCTTTTGTTTTCCAGGTATGTATGTATGAGTGTATTAAGAATTCTCAGATATCTAAGTATTAAAATCCTTATAATTTTTATTAATGAAAATGTGTCTGAGGGCCACGGGTTTAGCTCAATGGTTTTGTTGCCTGCTGCGCAAGCGCAAGGACCCAAGTTCGATCCCTGGTACCAAAAAAAAAAAGAAGATGTGTCTGGCAGATTAAAAAGCTACATTTATATTGCCAAAGGAAAGTTTATATTATTTTGAGGGATTCGTGAATAATTCTGTATTAATTACACCTGATAAGTGAATGCAAAATGAACCTGTATTCACAACCCCCCACCTCCAGTTTTTAAAACTGAGGTTTAAGGAAATGTTAAGCAACTTACATAAGGATTCCTAGCAAGACAATACTAGTAAACAGCAATTGAAATTCTTGGTCCTTGAATATCCAGTCTTTCTCATCTCACTGGGCCTGTTACCTTGTAATTTTATATATTAATTTGTGACAAGACAGAATCTGCCAAGCAGTAGCCCTAGTGTTCAGTTTTTGGGACATGAGCAAATTAGAAGCAATGTCTTCTATTTTTCTTCAGTAGTCATATAGACACTTTCAGACAGAATACATACAACACAGCAAAATCACTCTGGTGAATTGTTTTCTGTGTGCCCTTTATCTTGAACCTGTCCAAAAGTACACAATCATGCCTTTACTGAGTATCAGGGGAGACTGAATTTAGGAGGCTTCTGCTTCTTTAGAGTCATTTTTTAGTATTTTTGAAAGAAGCTTTTAGTGTACTTTTGACTTGAACAGAAGAAGAGTTGGTGGCTTACTTGGGGTTTTTTTTGGCGAGGGGATGAATGTCATATGAAAATACTAGATTTTAACTTAGTCCTGGGGGTGTAGGGCCAGCTACCCATAGATGCTTGCTTTTGTTGTAGTGTGGAGTTTCATCAGCACTAGCAGCTTCCTAGAATCAACATGGAGTTGAGTCATCACATGGGATCTAGATGTAGAGGGACAGTGAAGGCCTCAGGACATGGGGCAGTCACCCATCGGAGTAGGTTCCAGAAGACTGAGGTGGCCAACCCTCAACCTCTTTCACCCAAATTGCAGCCTCCACCAAACACAGTAGGTGCCCCAGTGTGTATTTTACTGAGGAAACAAGTGTCTGCAATTTTACTATATATATTCTTCCTCTGGCTTAAACTTAAAGTAAGCATTAGTTTATTTTAAATCCCATATTTGTAGTACTGTATATTAATTTTATTGTTTCCTTTGTGTGGCTGAGCTCTTCAGATCCTTTCTTACCGACAGAGTTTGAAGGACAGGAGAAGGGAAAGGATGTTGGGGTTCTGGTTCTTGCTGGGAGAGAGAGACAAGGAGAGCTACACACTGCAGCGGAGGGGACATCAAGGTAGAGAGGGAGGCACATGTAGGCTCTGCCCACTTCCCAGTGCTTCATGTGGCTGTTGCTGAAGAGGGGGTTGGGATGTGCCCACCTAGCACCCCTCTCCTGCTGTTGGTGACAGTATAGGTTGTGGGCCTTGATTCCTGCTTTCTCACTTTTGGCTCAGGTCTTCAGGTGCCAAGGGAATAGGCTCAGAGGCAGAAATTTGTCTGCAGGAGTTTTTTAGGGAGAGTTCTCAGGAACAACAAATTAAGAGCACGGGAGGAAGAGGGTAGAACTGGGCAGGTAGAGACTTAAGTCAGATATTGTTATCACTGACTTACCAGCCGGTGTGATAGGGAAAGGATGAAGCTGGAACAGTCCTTCAAAGATACCTCAGAGTTAGGCAGGGTGATTGGGTCTTTGCATCCTGTATCTGACCGGTCCCGGAGTGGTGCTGGCACTTGGGTGAAGCAGCTCCTTTCTACTGAGGGCACTTCTCAGATTGGGGCTCAGTTGTGAGCACTCATCAATCATGTCTCCCTGCTGGGAACCAAGAGCCTCCCAGGGACCTGTCAAAGAGCTGGCCATGAGGTTAGTGAAGGGGCTGTAATACAGCCACCACAGTGATGGAGGAAGACTTGATTGGATAGGGCTCTGAAAAATGAGACCCAGGAATTTATTCACCTTCCCTTCTTCTCCTTCTTCCCCTTCCCCTCCCTTTTCCCTCCTCCTCCTCTTCCTTTGCTTCTTCTTCTTCCTCCTCCTTTTTTTTTTTTTGACAGGGTCTTGCTGTGTAGTTCAGGCTAGCCTTGAACTCACTATGTAGCCCATGATATCCTTGAACTTGCAGCAATCCTCTTGCCTTAGCCTCCTGAGTGCTGGGATTACAGGCATACACTACCAAGTCTGACTTCACCCCCACAAAAATCTTTTCATCTCATTACCCCCTAATGTTTAAATCAGAGAGACCTGATTTAAGAAGCTGACCTTACACTTAAAATGTGATTGTAAGCAAATTGCCTAACTTCTCTAAGCCTGCTTTTCTCTCTGCAAAATGCTGATAATAGAATAATAGCTTCTATGTCATAAAGTATATATGGAGCTTAGTGAAGAATACACATTCATCAGCTGGTAACTCCCTTCAGACTTGATCCAAAACTAGTAGGAGTGTCAATGTCAGAGTCTAAGTGATACGTTGGATGATAAGTCTTTTTACCTATTACTCTGCTACTTACCTCCATTGTCAGTTGATATTTGACAAGTGGACTCACAAACTAAGCTCTGCTTTAAAAATAATACTCTTGTCTTAATATGTATTTGTTGGAAATCTTGAAAATCACACCCATTTTAGTTCAGAATCACTTATGAGACATCTGTTGTGTGCAGAGCATTGTGCAGATCACAGTGGGGAGACACTGTTGATAATATTCTTGTCCTTGAAAGTTCAGCTGATTCCAGAGATAACACAAAAAATTTGCAATATTAAATGTGCCCAATGTGTGGTTGGTCATAGAGGACTTCCTGTAGTAAGAGAGTTCCGAGCCAGGCCTTGGAGGAAGTAGGTCATGATCATGGTTGATGGAAAGAAAGGGAGAGATAATTCCTCATGAAAGTGATGTTTGTTCATTGAAGCAGAGTCAAGGTTTGCCAAGTATATTAACAAAAGTAAGAAAGACAAGTTGGTTGGAGAAGAAAGGACAAGGCTAGAGAATAAAGTAAGATGAGAATGGAGAAGAATAGGGAATGTGGTGGACAGGGAATTCTCTGGGCCCTTGAGTGCTAACCAGGCTGAGAAACTGGATTTGATAAGCTGAGCTCTAGTAATAATGGACTGAGGCCTGTCTGTAGAAAAAGTATGAATAGAAAGATTCTGGAGTCTCTTAGATGGTCTCGCTATTTAAAAGGAGGCCAATATCCCAGGTACTTATCTAGCCATGCTAAAATATAAAATCATTTATATAATGCTGCTACTACGTACAGGTATGTGATAGACATACAGAGTACCAAAAGAGATCTAATGAGAGATAAGTAAAACATTATGGAAGAAGGAGGACTTGAACTGGAAATGCAATTAGCAGTATATATTATTATTTTAGTTAGTAGAGGTGCCACTGATGATTGTTGCCTTGCTAGGTGTTTTGTTTTGATCTTGAATATCTACCAGTAATGCTCATGTTGAAGTTGTAATCACTACTAGCAGTGGTACTCTTGGGAGGTGTTGGAAGCTTTAGAAAGTTAGATTGTTGGGGGGATGCCCTTGAAGGAGGTATAGGACCCTGACCCGTTTCTTGACTCTCTCTCTTTGCTTCCTGGCCACTGTGAGGTAAATAGGCCTCATCTGTCACATGCTCCTGCCATGATATAGATGCTGCCATAAGCCACAAGCAACAGGGCTGAGCAACCATGGACTGAAGCCTTTGAACCATGAGAGAAAATAAGTCTTTTTTTCCTTCTACGTTGTTTATCTTGGGTATTTTGTCACAGTGACAGAAAGTTGACTTATACATTGGATTCTCCGCAGAGTACAAAGATTCCAAAGTAGCCTATCCATACATTACACCTTTGTAGACATATGTCAGAATGTCAAGTTCCAGTACTGTGGACAATTTTTTGAGAATTAGGGTTTTACAAGTGCCCTTCAGTGAGTCCCTGACTGTTCCAGAGCAAATCAGCTACTTCACAGCCATTGCACTCTCAGCCTTTCTGCTGAGCTGCCAGCAAAGATGCTAATTAGTGCCCACTCCAACCACAGGTTTCCCCGTCTTGTTTAGTGACATGCACACCTTTTCTCTAGGAACTACAATGAGACCAACTTAGTCATTCAGACATGTGAACATTTGTCAAATGGTAAAGTTGTTCAGTCTCCAGAAGCCCTGGCTGCTGAGTCAGCTGTGAGTCAGCTGTGAGTCAGTACCCTACTGCATTTCTTATAAATAAATCCTTCATTTTGCTCTAAATGTGAACTTCCATGATTCTTGGCATTTGTGTGTACAACCCAGTTCTTTTAGGAGGGTCTGAAATCCCTGCGTCTTCTGTCTTTTTTGCACATTTCTTTAAGTCTTTAAAGTGAGGAAAGACAGTTTCTAGGAGAAATGCTATTTTTATTGTACGTCCTGAAAATTGGCTCAAAAAAAGGACATCTCAAAATCTGTGTTAATCTTCCGTAAGTAAGTTAGAGCTCTGTTTTTTTGTTTTGTTTTGTTTTGTTTCTGGAGGAGTGAAAAATGGACGATATTGTTAGCTTTATTTTATGTATGTGGGCTTCAGTGTAATGGATCATGGAAGGCTTTATTATAAATCATTTGAGATTATTAAGTAATGTGATTGATAGTGTGATACAACAAGGAACTATGTGTATGACATAAGATTGAGTAGAAGAAGTCCAATTTAACTAGTATATATTACATAAATATAACTTTGTAGAACTACAAATTCATTTATTAAATTAAGAGCAAAACATACGAAAATATCAACAAGGCTTTATTTGGAGGGAGAAGCTCTGGTTTAACTTTTACTGGTTTTTTTTTTTTTGCTTCTGCTTTATAGT